CAGGAAATAACGAAGAGGACTTGATTTTATCTATTTGATTGGATTTGATCAGTCTCTCTTCTCACCTTGTCTGTAAATCCTCAAGCTGTCCAGCAGCATGAAGCCACGGATCTGGGCCCTGAGCAAAGCCACATCTGTCTGCATGAGTCCAGGGTCACAGCTCTCCTCTGGGGACCCTGTTGCCCTCAGAACCTCCGCTCGGGGTAATAGACAGTGGACAAAGTGAACCCTGGATCTGCGCACGGTGTCCAACAGTGCATCCTGCACTCAAAAGAGAAATACATCATGTGTATTTTAAGCCATTTCTTGGAACTAATAGGGAATTTGAACAATTCCATGAAAGAAAGATTTTCAACAACGAGTATTCGGTGTAGGACCCTCTTAAAACCCACCACTTGGAGTTTAATCTGAAGACAGAGAGACTTCTTTTTGACGGCTGCCATGCCTGTGGTGAAGGTCTTCCTCATGCTGGTGGCCCGACGCATGGCGAGCTGAGAGACACCCTCCAGTCCGGCGATGGAGCCGGTCAAAACCGCAACACTGCTGGAGCGGCCCACAAACATCCCGCTGATGCTCTTCCTGTTAGGATCATCCAGTGAAAACTTGAGTCTGATGTAGGGGTGTGCAATATATATATTCTACGATAATAACATGTTTATTGTTTTAACTATGTACAAGCTGTCCTCGTGTATGTTACTCGCAATAAAAACTGCTGTTTTCATGAATAATAGCACAATTACAAAATGTTAATCATCGAGTTAACATTTTGAGTTAGATTTTACACACAATATTTTAATTTATTTTATTTTTGCTTTATTTAGTCAAGAAAAATGTGTATCTGAGCAACACATAGTGGTGCTTTATTACAGAATAAATCTGCATTTTGAACAAAACAGTTTAATGAATGATTCAATGACTGAATGAATCTGGCGTTTCAAAGAATCATTTGAATGACTCATTAAGGAAGTGAATTGCAGCCGCCCACTGGCAGTTTTAGTTTCAGATGTAAAAATTTTTTTTATGACATCAGTTTATGGTGGCACATCCCTAATCTGGTGTCCTAACTGTCAGTTTATTTTGTCATTCTTCTTAAACTATGTTTTTTGACTGATTTACTGAAGTGACAAGTGCAAATGGTTTTGGCTAGTTCTTACTTCTGGGAGTTCTGCAGCAGATTGGCTGCGTTCTGGGGGGTGGGATTTAACCTGGCTAGGTTCAGCCATCCGTGTGTGTCATATTCCACCCAATCTGTCCCGTGACTGTGGCCGAGCAGGAAGTGATGTGTGTTTTCACTTTTTAGCACCACTGTGTGACCTGCAGAAAAACAATGCATAAATCTGTCTAGGGCAGAATGTAAGTGTGTGAGTTTGTGCACGTATATGTGTGTGACCTGTACTCTCTCCCTCTGCAGGGCCATAGTAACTTAAGAGTCGCTGCAGGAGTGTTTCCTCTGACCCTCCCGGCTGCAAAACCTCCTCCTCCATCAGCCAGAACAGACCTCTGGCCTCATCTGTCCGGGACAGAGTACGTACCTGAAACACAGACATTAATATCCACTGTCATAGAAATAGTCATCGAAGTTTCTTTTCTACACACACCAATCTCTCTCTTTTGTTCTGATACTTATAAACATGTTTTAAAAAGACTGCAGCATATATAACTATGACCGGCCAACTAATTACTACTAATATAGGATTAAATGTGCCCTACATTGACATTGTCATTTCCAGTTTCAGCCTTTAAAAGTGAAGTCTTTTGTAATAAATACAAATGCTTAGATGGAAATAAAATTAAGTAATTATCCACAGAGCTCTTATTAAAATAATCACACAGACACACAACTTTAAACATCAGCAGTTTTGACTTGTTTAGGAAGTGCGTCTCACCAGGGTCTGACTGGAGGACTGATCAACCACAGCTACTGAACGAGAAGGGCTGGGCTCCAGGTCATCCAATGTGATCCCAATGTTTTCCTATGGAAAGACAGATGCAGTTATTAATTAATAAATAATGAATAATTTGCAAAGATGCTAACTGTGAGGGATTTTTTATTCATCAAAAATCCTAAAAAAGTTTCTATAAAAATATTAAGCAGCACAACTGTTGATTGATAATAATAAAAAAATGTTTCTTGAGCAGCAAATCAGCATTTTAGATGATTTCTGAAGGATCGTGTGACAGAAGATTGGAGTAACGATGCTGAAAATGTTTTTTAAAAGTTTTTAGCGATCAAATACATACAGTGGGTACGGAAAGTTAAATTTTTCACTCTTTGTTATATTGCAGCCATTTGCTAAAATCATTTAAGTTAATTTTTTTTCCTCATTAATGTACACACAGCACCCCATATTGACAGAAAAACACAGAATCGTTGACATTTTTGCAGATTTATTAAAAAAGAAAAACTGAAATATCACATGGTCCTAAGTATTCAGACCCTTTGCTCAGTATTTAGTAGAAGCACCCTTTTGATCTAATACAGCCATGAGTCAATATGGGGTGCTGTGTGTACATTAATGAGGAAAAAAAATGAACAAATGATTTTAGCAAATGGCTGCAATATAACAAAGAGTGAAAAATTTAAGGGGGTCTGAATACTTTCCGTACCCACTGTATAGCCTTGGTGAGAAAAAGAGACTTACATTTAATATTCATAATATAATTATTGAGTAACAAATTAACTATCTGTCTAAGTATGGTGTCACAGACGTCCTTGATCATTTTTAGCACCATGTTGTGCCATGAACTTTGTTTTTCAAGATTCTGTGTGAAAAGTAGTTCAAGTTTTGAAAGAGCCATTCTCAACCTCTGCAATACATTTTATTGCATTCTTTTTATAATTAGTTGTAGTAAAATTTCAGCGCAGTAGTGCACTGCTCCACTGTCCCATCCAGTAATGGCAAGTTGCTAATAAATACAATAAAAAAGTTAAAATGAAATTAAGTAGTGGTAATCTTAAACAGCTATATAATTTAGTGTTTTAATAAGAATTGTGAGAACAAGCTGTAGATGTTTGGGTATTGGTTATGGGTGTTTTGTGCACCTCTTTGTAACGCTCCAGTTCCCGTACGAATGTTCGCTCCTGGAACAGGGTCTGCAGACGTTCCTGAGCGTAATTATGGCAGAGCTCCTCAAACGTGGCGCCGCGCTGGTTCTTCACCTGACGAGGGTTCTGGAACCCTGGTGTGTCCACAATCAGCAGAGAACAGAGAGAATGCTGACTGGACTTCAGCGCTCTGAAAGTAGAAGAAGATTAGTGGTCGACCGATATATCGCCAAGGCCGATATATCGGCCGATATTTGGCATTTTTCAAATATCGGCCGATAAGTTTTTCTGTTTGACCGATGCGTTCAGGGCTGGACTTTTATTTTGACGGCGCTGAGAACGGCAGCGCCTGAGCACACAGTGCTCACATTCTCCTTGTTCGCTGTCGTCGTTAATAGTTCTGTCTAATACGGATAGAAGTCTGTCTAATAATCAGATAGAACGGTTAAACAAAGGAATTAAAATTTATACAAAAAGTATTATAACGATTGCTTTTATATTATTAGTAATAGAAAGGCAAACATTATAATACTTTCTCGTTTGCCGTCAGCATTCAGCAAATTCGCATTTACATCATTTAAACAAATCTTTGAATGTCTAATGAACATTTAATTTCACAAACCTTGCAAACTTAGTCGAATCCAGTTGTGAGATCTTGTGAAGTGTGCATGTGACCTGCATGATCCCGTGTTCTCTGCGTGACTTTCGATCCATGCAAATTGAATGCTTTAAACATTACATTTGTGATTTCAAATTATGCTGCGCTTTATGCATTTGCACTGTCATATTCATGTCAATTTCACTGTGTGCTGTATGTAAAATGAGTGTTACCTTGTCTTTATTTGAAAAAATATGATTCCCAATGCACACAAACTTCCCAGAATACTGAGTGCTCTGTTGGTTACAGTTTACTTCCTTTTTAATTATATTTTTATTAAATATTTATTTATTTGTGGAAAATACTTTGTCATCTAAAGTATAAGTATGTTTATTTTATAAATGAATTTTTGAATCCATTTTCAAATGATTTCAAATTTCTTAAATATTAATTAAAATAAATACAATTATATCGGCTTTATATCGGCCATCTGCCACCCTGCTTTCCAAGATATCGGCATCGGCTGTCAAAAAACCAATATCGGTCGACCACTACAGAAGATATCAGAATGCATCTCTTATTCAATAAATCATGTTGCTCTAGGTAATCACCGGTTACCAATTACCTGTTAATGAGAGAGATAATGAGTGTGAAAAGCTCAGAGTATAAACCAGACGCCATGAACTCCAAACACTCAGCTGCTGTTGCTTTAGACACTGAAACGCACACAAAAACACTTTTTAAGACACAAAACAGAGAAGCATTTATTGCATTTTTAAGAATGTTACGAAACAAACATTACCTGAGCTATCCGTATCATCCGTACTCTGTCGGACACTTGAGGAGCGGGGAAGTGTGCCCTTGCCCTGCGTTTTAAAGATGCCGGATGACAGCTCTTCCAGTGTGCAGCCCAGGAGATACGCTGCTTTTTGTGCCCACTCGTGCCTGGCAAACTGCTTTCGGCCTGCTGAGGGGTCAGAAAGCCACATTCACAAAAGTAAAGCAGTGTTACCACAAAACATCTGTCACATTATGGTGAACTACAATAGGTAGTCAAGTGTCCAGAGAACAAGGAGAAACTTTCATCTCCCGGATTGATGATCAAAGAGAACGAACATTTTCATTCTGGCGTTCGACATCAGAGTGGAAACAAGCACAAAGGCAGATGAAAGATGAACACACGGTTCTGTTTAAATAAAAAAAAATAATAATAAAACCACCTGCCTTCAGTCTAAAACAGAAAGATAGGGACCTGCATTTACCTGCATCTGTTTCTGTGTTATGATGGGGACAGCATGCAACATCAATATGCAATAAAAAGACATGATTACAATGGTTAAAACACAAACAACAACTGTTATACACAAAGAAACATGATTAGGGGGATAGTCCACCCCAAAATTAAAATTCTGTCATCATTTACTTTCACTCACGTTGTTCTGAACCTATATGACTTTCTTTCTTTAATGGAACTTAAAAGAAGATATTTTGAAGAATGTTGGTAACCAAACAGTTTTGGTTTCCATTGTATGGACAAAAAAAAATACAAAGGGATCAATGGGAACTGAAACTGTTTGGTTACCCGCATTCTTCAAAATGTTGGTTTTTGCTGAAAAAAGAAATGCATACAGGTTTGGAATGACATGAGGGTGAGTAAATGATGACTGAATATTTGAATGGACAATCCCGTTCAATACTGAAGATAACTGACAAATGTTTTTAGACATCAAACACACACACTAAAGCTTAAACAGCACATAAAGTCTAAACATTTTCTCAGTAACATGACTGGAAAGACTCTAGTGACTCTTAGTGGACAGATTTTAAAATACACTCTGTGCAGTCAGATATGCTGTATGCTGTATATTACTGTGTCACACATTTAGTGTTGGTTTAGACACTTGAGGAGCCGGTAGCTTTACCTTTGGTGGCCCCAGCGGCACCGAGGTGGTATACGGCCCCTAAGATCAGCCACACGGTTTTCTGTTCTTCAGCAGAGATGCCCAGGACCTTCATGGCAGCCTGTAGCTTAGTGAACTGCTGAGCGGCTTTCTGCTTGTCCTCAGGCTACAGAGCATTTGACATATGATACACTGTTTTCAGATAAAACAAGATTAAATGTGTGTCTAATGATGGTACATGTGGCTTTTCTTACCTTTGAGTGAGGGAGGAGCCCGAATGCGCTGTTCTCAGCAAAGTGATTAAAATGAAGTTCAGTCCTGAAAGGCATAATATTCTATTAGCTGGTCAACTTTAATCTGTACATGTTTCCTGCTTTGACCTCAATCTGCATACTATATTTGCTATTTAAACATATACATATATAATATATGTGACCCTGAAGCACAAAACCAAGTCTTAAGTCGCTGGGGTATATTTGTAGCAATAGCCAAAAATACATTGTATGGGTCAAAATTATCGATTTTTATTTTATGCCAAAAATCATTAGGATATTAAGTAAAGATCATGTTCCATGAAGATATTTTGCAAATTTCCTACCGTAAATATATCAAAACTTCATTTTTGATTAGTAATATGCATTGCTAAGAACTTCATTCGGACAACTTTAAAGGCAATTTTATCAATATTTTGATTTTTTTGCACCCTCAGATTCCAGATTTTCAAACAGTTGTTTCTCAGCCAAATATTGTCCTATCCTAACAAACCACACATCAATGGAAAGCTTGCTTATTCAGCTTTCAGATAAATCTCAATTTCGAAAAAATTTACACTTAAGACTGGTTTTGTGGTCCAGGGTCACATATTTGCCAGAATATTACAAAATGGCATGTCAAAGGTGGCTGGATAGATTTATGCAAGACAAATGCATTTAGTTTGCATGCTTTTTAGGTTAATACACTGTAAAATTTATATGACCTGTAAGTCAGGTCAACAATGATGCAAGATTAAACTATTTTTTTTTAATTCAACTGAACTTCAACTGAACAAGTTTTTAAATTGAGGTAGATATAGATTTTTTTTTACAGCGTAATAGTCTCTCATTTACTTTAGAGCTGCATCTGCTCCAGCCATCAGATAGTAAAACACATTGAAGCTTGATTCTGCTTCTGGTCGTCTGATCACTCTGAACTTCTCCAGCAACATGGTCTGTATGCAAGACATAAAGCAAATCAGAGATAAGTCCCCCAATGTCTTTAGAAATTATGAGTAATTGCCCTCGCTGTACCCTACCTGAACAGAGGCAGAGGCCACCTGTCCTGCCTGGTCGAAGTCAAGAGAGACTATGTGTGAGAAGCGACTGGCGTTCACATTCATAGCTGTACTGCAGTTCCCGAAAGCCTCCAGAACCGTGTAGACCGCCTGCCATTTCTCAGCTGTGGGGAGAAGACAGTTCATAACGTTATATAAAAATAACAGAATTTATTTTAAAAAATACAATAACATATAAAAAAAATATTAAAATTAAAAATAAAGTGAAAATGAACTCTAGGAAAACTGAAAAGGAGAGTGGGTCTATATTGGGTCCTCCTCGTCTTCCTCACCTGAGTACACCTTTCCACTGCCGGCTGCGATGGTGACCAGGTACTGTAGCAGGTGCTGGCAGTTAGTGGTCTTTCCGCTGCCACTCTTGCCCAGCAGCACGATGGTCTGATCCTGACGTGTGGTCAGCAGCTGATGATATGCCGACTGAGCAACAGCGAAAATGTGAGGAGCTGTTTCCTCCCTCCGGCAGCCCTTAAACATCTGCATCACCTGATATAAACAGACTATGTCACTCCATCTCTCTCTGCCATAACTTTGAGGTAATTTTAAGACTTTGTGTGAAGTTTGTACCTTCTCTGAGTACAAGGCAGGTGTGCTGAGAGGATTGATCACCAGAAGATTTGGCCCAGCGTAGGTGTGAATGAGGTTTCCACCATAGCGCTGACGAAGGGTGTGAAGCATGCTGGACTCGTTGAGGTACAGAAGAGAGGAGAGATCCTCCACTCGATCATATGATAGAGGATTTGCCTGACAGACAGACAGATGAGAGTAATTAAACAGGTTTCTTGGCTTTTGCATGAGTAATGTCACATGTTTGTGACAATGACTCCGCCCACCTTTTCCACATCATCCTCGTCCACTTCCAGTACTGTCCCATCATGCTCCAGTCTGATCTTCACTTTCCCCTCTGGGAGAGAACCCATCTCTGCCTTGAGCTGTGTGGCTATACAAACAAAATTTATATTTATTTACTTAAACTGGACATGAGTATTCGGATCATAACAGAAGTGATGAACTATGACTTCACTAACCCAAAGAGAAGCCATCTTTATGGACAAGCCAGACTTTCTCAGTGTTATACCAGGCCTTCTCTGCAGCAAGCTGCTCCTCCGTCTTCACCTGCAGCAGGAAGTGAGAGAGATTGTCATCACAGAACATGAAAAACACTACAGGTTTCCAGTCCACGGACTGATTGTGATTCAGTTCAGATTTTCATTGTGTTTAAGATTAATTGTGACAGAGACAGATAGGTGTGACTTTAGAAGTGGGTGCTACAAACAAAGACCGCAGAGCAATCCATATCAGGTTGAAGTCTATACACTAACTAACCAAAGTAGAATTTGAATGGGAAATGTGCTTTGGTTCAAACAGGAGCTCTGAGGTGATAAGATTCCTTCAATGCACAACGAGACTCTACTAAGCTTTACCCATAAGCAAAATTACACACAGGCAATGCAGTAGCCAGACCTTAGACAGACTGGCAGCTTCATGTGCAGCCTGCAGGATAGCCACAGGATCTTCAGCTGCCTTGGCCTGCAAAGGGCCGGGAAAAGCAAGAGAGCAGGAGTCAAAAAGTCATAAATACACAAATCCATACAGGACTTAACAGAAATTAACAGGAGAATAAAACACTTCATATGAGAATTGTGAAAGAAAGAAAGAAAGAACGAAATGGGAGAGGTTAAGGGAGGTGTTTCTGCACCTGATTCCCTTGGGTAGGCATCACTGGAGATCCCTATAGATGGAATCAAAAAGGATCAGTGAAGAGTCTAAGTGGTCCTGACCAGGATCAGCAGTGTGATTATTATCAAACCACCTGATGCTAACATTGAAACCAATGCAAGACCAAGCCTGACACAATAGTATAACTGCTAACAATTGTTAACACCGATCAAATCTGGAAATAAGCAGTGAGACATAAACACCAATGATGCAGAATACATTTAACTAACCACATATCTACTTTCAGGCAACACACAACTCTCACAGCTGAACACCATTGTCTTACACAAACATCTTGGCAGTGGTGGGACACACCTGTTGGTTGGCAATAGTGGAAATCTGGGATGGAAGTTTTCCAGCAGGAGCCGCAGAAGGTTTTAACACCTCCTTCACCTTCACAGACACAGCACTTGTCAGTACAACGCAAGCATATGGTCTACAATCATGCCAAAAACTAGTGAGATAGGAGCCACCACATTACAAGTATTCAAGAAGTCTGCAACTGCCATGGTCAGCACTAATGCAATAATAGTCTGATATGTGGTCACGGCTGCAGCCAACAATAATTTTTACCTCAACTTAAAGCCATTTGAAGGGTCAACAGACATGGCGCGCTTTAGAAAATGATCTCAAGAATCAAAAAAGTCACTTCCAGCATGCTGAATTCTTGCAGGCATTTTGCAAGCATCAGCTGCTTAAGTTACTGCTTCAATCTACTTCAGACGGTTAAAGTGAGACAGCAGTCAAAGTCTTTATGCAAGGGTGAGAAAAATAATTTGACATGAGTTATGGCAAGATATTAGTTCTGCAGTGAGCCTTGCAGAGTTTCACAACATTGGCCTGCTGAGCAAGCATGCATTACTAAAGCATTCAGAAACACATGCAGTATGTACCTCTGGCTTTCGTACAGCAATAGACCGTGGTACAGGAATAAAGCCTGCAGGTGGTGCTAATGGGTCAACTTTAGGCTTGGGGATAAATCCTGCCACCGGGGCAAAAGGGTCTCGCTTTGGGGTGGGAACGAATCCCACCGGCGGTGCCAGAGGATCAGGTTTGGGCATAAGTTGAGTGGAAGGGTTTGGTTTAGGAGCTGGTATGAATCCCGCCAGTGGTGCCAGAGGATCAGGTTTAGGTGTAGGTTGAGTAGAAGGATTTGATTTAGGAGCTGGAATGAAACCAGCAGGTGGAGCCAATGGATCAGGCTTGGCGACTGGAAGGAATCCAGCAGGAGGGGTAAGAGGATTTGGCTTAGAAGGTAAAAAGCCAACAGGAGGGGCAAGAGGGTCAAGTCTAGGAGGTGGACTGATTGCAGGGGTGGATGGTTGGGGTTCTTCTGAGGGGTTCTCGCATTCACCAATCCTTTCTTTGCTTTCGTCTTGAGGTTCTTTTCGTTCGGCAGCTCTCAAGCGAGAGCGATGCTCTTTAGTCCTTGCACGGCCCATTAGGCTGCTCAACCCAGCAGAGAGGGCATCTCCATCCACAGAGCTGCCAGCTTGCAGTGGACGGCTTGTTTTGGGGACTGAAGTGGCTGTCAAAGGCGTTTCCTCTGACCCTGCTTTGTGTGCCAGGTTCAGTCCTCTCCTCGTCAATGTGTCAGACTCAAAGCTGCCATGTCGTCCGTTCATGGAGTCGCTGCTTCTCTGGTCTACAGTCAGTGGCTGCTCTGGATTCACCGCTGTTGATGGTTCACCCCAACGTCGCTCGGTTGAGCCACTTACTGCTGTCTGAGACTGACTCATACTGTTCTCACTGTCCGACTGTTCACACAACCCAGAACGCACATGTGCAGGTCACCACAAAAGAAAGAAAAAAACCTATGAAATTACACACTAGCAGCAAGAACTAAAGGTAAAAGTTCACATCCCTTGTAACTTAAAAAATAGCACTATTATGCAGTTCACAATAGCTTCGATATAATTCCACAAGCAACAACCTTCCAGAGTTTCCTGAATTTCCCAAATGATGACAGATGGGTGGCCGTTCTGAATATCAGAGGGTCTTCACACTCTCCAGCCCAGCTGCAAGTACTGAAAGTTCATCTGAAAAAGACTCCTGCTTCCACATGGCCAGGCACTTTGCAGTTCTTTTCTCAGCACAGTCAGGCAGGTTAACAGACAAACCCAGTAATTAAGGTCACTGCAGTGCAACACTGGCTCACAGCCCTAAAACACAACTCTACAGGATCAACCGCAAAGGCTTTGGTAGTCTCTCTCTCACACTACACAATTCAGAACCTGGAGTATTTTAAAGACCTCGCAATCACTTCACACTATAAAATAACCAATTAAACTGCATATTTAGTTATACTAGATACTAGGAATGAGCTCTTATGTGGAGACAGACCTTCATGTCTATCCTGAAGGTGATGATACTGGTGCTCTTCCAGCTGTGCACGGCATTCTTTGGGACACTGAAATTGACAGCAGCACTTTGAGAGAGCTGGACAGGCCTCCAGCCCTGTGCCTCCATGATGACTTGCAAACGTCTCACACATTTGCTTCAGACACACACAATCTTAGCTCAGCATCCCTCTCATGCTCCTTCCCTCTCTTTCTTCCTCCAGCTGCCCCTCCCACTACAGCAGTGATTGGAGGACAAAAAGGGCAGGGTGTGATGTCAACAAGCCCCACCCACTGGAGTACAGCAGCAGTACAGTTCTAAACAAACATCCACATACAGTCACTCTCACCTTATTCTGCAAAAATTATCTTTACACCTGCTAATATTCACATTTGAGCATTTAGGACTCTATAGTTTAGAAAGTTACTTTTACTCACCCTGTTTCCATTAAATTTCATCTACTAAATTTAATCTGGATGAAGTGACTAAACAGATGAACTGCTTTCATACGGTAATTACAAAGTACGAGGTTGGAAGCAAACAGCTGTCCTAAAAGAAAAGGACCACCATTTTCTGAACAAACCCCATCTTTAGCACCTCCTGATGATATACGTGAAGTAAACACACAGGATGTGTTTTAGAGTAAACCACAACCACAATAACAAATGCAGAGTTCTGGGAGATGTAATCTCTTCTGATCTCAGAACAGACACCCATCTGAAATCCGAGTCATGCAGTAATGCAAACGCTGCTCAAACACTTACATTCGAGCTTTTTGCACCCGGGACATTTTCATCTTTCACCTGAAGGGAGGCAGATAGAGACAGGAAAGTTAAACCAGCAATCAGATGCTCTAACCTGAGACATTGTTCTTGATGTGACATCTGACCCTGCTCTCTCTCTGTTCTCTCAATATACAGTTTATCCATCTTTCAGACTGAAGATTAACCTCTACAGCTAAACTCTCATATACATACACTAACACTAATTAGAATGTGTACAAGGGAGGTTCTTCCAGAGAAAAGTAATACTAAGAGAATGCAAAAGATTTGCAAGCGAATGCAAAGCTACTTGGTGGAATCCAACACTTTTGAGGGAGAACGCAAACGCTTGGCAAGCGAATGCAAAAGCAATGAAATATATTTTTTCCTCCCATGTCATAGTTTTTCCATCACAGTGTCCTCTTAAGGGCTCTGTATGATATTGACCAAACAATCATTTATCTTAATTTGGAGAAAAATCCGGTTCTATGTCACCTGTCCTGAACAGACAGTAAATTAATAAACAAACAGCAGAAAACGGTACTTTCCTTTTTCTCCCAAAATGAGAAACGAGATGAGAAGGCCATGATGAAACAGACAGTTCAGGAGAAGAGAGGGAAGGAAAGGGGAGGAGAAGGAAGGCTGGTTTGCGGAGAGACAGAATACAGGATCGGTTAAATGCAGGCAGTCTTTCCGATTGAAGTTTGGGGGTACTAGGACCCTGCGGTGAACAGGTATAATGAATAGCTACAAGAAAAGAAATAAGGATTAACATCTAATCTGTTAAATGAATAAACATAAAGCGGGGAGCATTATTTAGGCTTTCAGCATGACAGTTCTAATTTCAATGTGTAATTTTTTGAAAATTATATTGGTCACTCCTTTCCTGAATGAATGTGAATGACATGCGGGGCTGTCGATTTCCAAAATGACAATGGAACGTGGTTCATATGACTCATGTGTTATATTCCAAGTCTTCTGAAGACTGAAAATAAAGTTGTAATTTGGAATGACACGAGGGTGAGTAAATAATGACAGATGAGAGAGCTGGAACTCAAACTTTACTGTAGTATACAGATAAAATAATGTAAATCAAGCTTCACATGAACTGAAAAAATAATGCTGAAAGAGCAGATTTGTAATGCAAAAGCAACGTGTCTGAAAGTGAAAGTGCAATTTAAGGCAACAGGACTGAGCTTTCATGACACCAGAACATTCACTATAAATAGAGCACATGTGAAGAGGCCACAATGTGAAGTAACCAACACACACACACACACGAACGGCTGTCCGGCAGGCTTTAAACACTGATTCCTGTACCTGTCAAACACAAAGTAGACACATCGGATCCCCTTTGTTATGTTAAGCAGGTGGTCAGGTAGACATCCATGGGCAGACGTCTTGAGCGGGGCTCAACGTGGGGTAGGACGTTATGACAAGGACATCAAGCAAGAGTGCTCTGGCTCGGGAGGGGGGATAACAGCTGCTTGAGGACACTGAGGATATAAATAACCATGCAGACCCTAGTACCCCCTGACCACACATACACACACACACAACAACAACAAACTGGATTACAACAGTTTAACTGTTCTTTCAGAAAATCCAGCCAAACTCAATTCACAAATTTTGCCAACAGAGACAACATGTTCAAATCCCACCACAAGGGGGCCACAACACGTGTGAATAAACAAAATGCTGCTGTTTCTC